TAGGTGGTATCCGCACTCTTCCGGAGAAACTAGATATTATATCCCTTATTCTCGACACCTCTCAATTATGTGTTGTATGTTGTACTCTTACCCAACCCAAAGAGGCTAATGATTGCACTAGTCACTTTTGGAGAACCATGTCACCTATTTTTAGCACTAAATTGAAATTCTCCACTGTAGACCACCCAAGATTGATGGTCAAACTAATGTTGCTAACCAAAGTCTTGGCAATTTTTTAAAGTGTCTAGTCCCGAAAAATCTTAGGAATTGGGGTTTGATCCTTCCACCAGTTTAACTTGCATATGATAATTCTGATCTTCCCTGTGAAGTTATTCATGGTTATAAGTCTAGGAGGCCTTTAGACCTTATTCCCATGTTCCTATATACTAGTATGTCGATGTCAGCTAAGGTATTTCTGCATCATCTTCTTGACTTGCATATTGAGACAAACAACTTGAAGCAAGTAATAAATCATGTAAACTTCGAACTGATTTGCATAAACGACATATTGAATTTAATACTGGGGCTTATGTTATATTGCAAGCCTTTAGTGTTGGTCCTTTAAAAATTTTAAAGCATGTTGGTCCAAACACATATATCATTCACCTTTCATCACATTTTGACCACCATTCAATTTTAACTATTAAGGATTTCGTTGCGTAGAAAGGCTACTTTAATCCCTTTAATGATCACTTTCTATGCCCACCTGGGACTTTCCACACTAAATCTTTTGCTATATATACTCCAATACCACCTTCTACAGTGCCCAAAAATAAAATTGATATTATTTTAGATTAACGGATTGTGTTGACCAATGATGGAAAGATTTAGTGCTTCCTTATTTGTTGGGTTAATCAACTTGAGTTTCACTGTACATGGAGTCTGGTGCGAAAGCGTTATGAAATTCTTATAATATGAATCATGTAATAAATAAAAATGATATTTGAACAATCATATCACGTATATATTAAATAATAATTGATTGTTGTTGAAAAGTGTATAATGCTCCTATATTTATAGAAAAAATTATTCCCTACTTCTAATAGTATTAGGAAATTGAAACTACAATCCTAATTAAATAAAAGATAAAAAGTTCTATCATGACTATACAAGAAAGCTAAAAAGATAAACAAATTGAAAAGATAAACTCCTAGAAAAAATGAAACATAATTGTAGTAGGAATAGTAAGAAATTATTAATTGTAATAGAAATGTACTACATCAATCCCCTCCACTTGAAAAAAAATTCATCCTTGAGTTTTGTTGAAAAAAGGAATCCTTGATAACTTGTGTTTTTTAAAACTTGGCTTGGACTCGAGGAAATTCTCTAGCTACATGTCGTGTTCTATTCTTGTTGAAATAACTAATATTCACAGTAGTTAAAGTTTACAAATTTTTGTAAGCTTGCTTCTCTATGAACTTGCAATCCCCTTCGAGACTTAACACAGTAGCATCTACGTGATGTTGTGAAGGGTTTCATCGATTCGTTATTCTAGTTTGTCGAGCCTCCATTCATTTTCGACGGTTCGACTACCACTAGGACCATCGTCAACCATTAGATTAAGGCAATTTCCTTGCTCTGATACCAATTTTGGTGCGGAAGCGTAACGAAATTCTTATAATATGAATTATGTAATATATAAAAATGATATTTGAACAATCATGTCACGTATATATTGAATAATAGTTTATTGTTGTTGAAAAGTATAATGCTCCTATATTTATAGATAAAATTATTCCCTACTTCTAATAGTATTAGGAAATTGAAACTACAATCATAATTAAGTAAAAGATAAAAAGTTCTATCATAACTATACAAGAAAACTAAAAAGATAAACAAATTGAAAAGATAAACTCTTACAAACGATGAAACATAATTGTAGTAGGAATAGTAGAAAATTATTAATTGTAGTAGGAATGTACTACATCAGAGTCCAGAGAGAAACTTCAATATCTTGATCCAAATTTATTGGAATAAGCAGGATTTTGTCGGGATCACATTGGTTACATCATATTGTTGGGGATAAGCTCCAGTTATGATTGTTATCAATAATGGAGTTTTTATATTTGGTTCTTAAGAAAGATCGTCTCCCATGGCATGAGTACATCCACCTTGCTTATGATTAGGAGCTCGACTGTAGCCATTTGTGATTTGTCCACTTGACAAAGTCGAGTTTTTCTTCTACTCCGAGAGAATTGATGCAAACATCACCCTTTTGTTATTATTGGATAATTTATTTTATTTTATTTTATTTAGAGTTGGATTTATATTAATGGGCTGGCTCAAGCCCTTAGCTTTAGATTTGTTGTTTTGTCTATTTATATAGTTTATAATTGAAAACAAAACTTAGTTGATGAATGAAATGAATTAAGATTGGCTTTGCCCACAATTTCCCCTTTTCCCTAATTCTTCCCCTCTCCTGGTCATCTTCTTCTGCTGGCTTCTTCCTTTTGCTTTCTTATTCTTTTTCTTCTTTGCCCTTTTTGGTACAATTCTAAATTCTGCTGAAAAATCTATCTATACTACATCATGATGCCTAGCAACAATTTATGTTCTTAATGCCTAGCACATTTAGGGTTGTAAAAGCTCGCATTTTAGAATATAGAAATTAATAAATAAAATAAGTTTAGGAGATCTAGTTACATACCATTGAAACCGTTGTACCCCAAATATTGATATACAAGTGTTGATAGGTTTCCAATTTCATTTGGAATATTTCTTGTCAAATTCATTTAATCATATAATATTAAAATATCAAATGTTCAGGTAACACGGAATAGGTCTTATTAATGAGAAATACTAGAAAATTTAAAGTTGATAATTAAGTGCCGATAGGTTTCCAATTTCATTTGAAATATTTCCTGTCATTCCATTTAAACATATAAATTTTAAAATGTCAAATGTTAAATGAACACAAAATAGGACTAATGAAATTGAACAAGTAAAAACTAATTTGATTTGATGTGAAGAACCTCCGAAGTTATTGTTGCATGATGTATTCCTAATAATTATTTGGAAGATACCATATTTTTTTGAAAACAATTTGTCAAAAGAGTGTAATATGCACAGGCGGAAACCTAAAGTTCATCAAATGTTAAATTAACACAAAATTGATCTTCTGGTAGAGGAGAGTGCCAACTAATTTGAAGTTGATGAATGAGTAACTATGAAGTTATTGTTGCATGATATATTTCTAATAATTATTTGAAATATGTTATACATGCTGAAAATTATTTGTAAAAAGGCTAAGAGATAGCCTAAAGTTCATTTAGATTCCCATCAGCATAAAAATCTTTGTTAAAGGTGACCATTTTAAATTTAAATTTCCTTAACTGATATTGTGTCCTAGATCCTAAAACTAAGAATTTGAAAAAAAAAAAAATTCAAGTCAATTAATATTGAAAAGTTTAGGAAGTATAATCATATTGGGTACTTAGGATTTGAGGTGATTATGTTGTATTTCTAATAATTATTTGATAACTACCACACAATTTGAAAAACCTTTTCCAAAAGAGTGTAAAATGCATAGGTGGAAACCTAAAGTTCATTTAGATTTTCGACCAGCATAAAATCTTCGATATACATGACAAATTTGAACTTAAGTTTTGGTGTAAGTCTTTTCCAGACACTAAATAAACAAATTGAATAGATTTAATTAGTGTTTTAAAAGTGCGTCTAAGCAGAAAGTTCAGCCTTGCCAGAAAGCCACGCATTTACGCTTTTATAGGTTGGTCCATTTGAGCTCGTAAAAGCTAGAAGCTTAGCCTTGACGTCTAGTCAAGTTTTGATTTTTTAAAACACTTGATTTAATAAATAACATAAGTTTAAGAGATGTAGTTTATGTACTACTCAAACCGTTAGAGTTCAAATCCAGATATTCAATTGCTGATAGGTTTCCAATTTCCTTTGGAATATTCCTTGTCAATCCATTTGGACATAGATTTTGAAATATCAAAGGATAAGTTAACAAAAAATAGATCCAATGAAAGAGAAGAAGTACCTACTAATTTGAAGTCGATAATTAAGTACCTATGGAGCTACTGTTACATGATGTATTTCTAATAAATGTTTGGAATATGGCATACATTTTGAAAAACTTTTGTGAAAAACATTGTGAAATGCCCAAGTGGTAACCTAAAGTTTTTTTTGATTTCCATCAACATTAAAATCTTCGTTGTATGTGAAAATTTTAAATTTGGAATTCTGATATAATTCATTTTCATAAAAATAAATAAGCAAATCAAAATAGATTTAATATGCATTCTAAAAGCTGTATTTAGACATGAATCTGGCCATATCACCTAGCTACACAGTATGCTTTCATATGCCTAGCCCATTTCAGTTAGTGACACTCCGAAGCTTAACCTTGATGTCTAGTCACATTTTACTCTTTTTAGAACATTAAATCTAATATATATACTTTCGAGGATCTAATTACATACCAATGAAATTGTTGGGCCCCAATTCTAGATATACAAGCAATAATAGGTTCATATTTCATTTGGCATATTTTTTGTCTATCCATTAAACATAATGAATTTAAAACAACAAATGTTAAATTAACACAAAATAGATCTAATGAAAGAAGAGAAGGATTAACTAATTTGAATTCGAAAATGTTGTACCTATGAAGTTATTCTTACGTGATTTATTTCTAATAATTATTTGGAAAGTGCATAGATGTTGAAAAATATTTTTCAAAAAGTATAAAGAATGCGTAAGTGGTAACCTAAATTTCATTAAGATTTTCCATTAACATTCAAATCTTTGTTATATGTGAGAATTTGAATTTATAGTTTTTTTTAATAAATATTTGTCGGGACTAAATAAACAAATTGAAATATATTTAATTTATGTTCTAAAAAGATCGTCCATGCACGAATCTGGACCTTGACGACTAGCAACAATTTATGTTTTTAATGCCTAGCACATTTAGGGTTGTAAAAGCTCACGTTTTAGAGCACTGAAATCAATAAATAAAATAAGTTTAGGAGATCTATTTACTTATCATTGAAGCCATTGTCCCCCAAATCTAGATACACAAGTGCTGATAGGTTTCTAATTTCATTTGGAATATGTCCTGTCAATCCATTTAATCATATAATATTAAAATATCAAATGTTCAGTTAACACGGAATAGGTCTAATTAATGAGAAATGCCAGAAAATTTAAGTTGATAATTAAGTGATGATAGGTTTCCAATTTCATTCAGAATAGTTCCTGTCAATCCATTTAAGCATATAGATTTTAAAATGTCAAATGTTAAATGAACACAAAATAGAACTAATGAAATTGAAGAAGTAAAAACTGATTTGATTTCGATGTGAAGAACCTCCGAAGTTATTGTTGCATGATGTATTCCTAATAATTATTTGGAAGATACCATATTTTTTTTATAACAATTTGTCAAAAGAGTGTAATATGCACAGGCGGAAACCTAAAGTTCATCAAATGTTAAATTAACACAAAATAGGTCTTATGGTAGAGGAAAATAGGTCTTATGGTAGAGGAGAGTGCCAACTAATTCGAAGTTGATGAATGAGTAACTATGAAGTTATTGTTGCATGATATATTTCTAATAATTATTTGAAAAATGTCATACATGCTGAAAATTATTTGTAAAAAGATTGTAAAAAGGCTAAGAGATAGCCTAAAGTTCATTTAGATTCCCATCAGCATAAAAATCTTTGTGAAAGGTGACCATTTTAAATTTAAATTTTTTTAACTAATATTGTGTTCTAGATCCTAAAACTAAGAAATTAAAAATAAAAAAAAATTCAATTCAATTAATATTGAAAAGTTTAGGAAGTATAATCATATTGGGTACTTAGGATTTGAGGTGATTATGTTGTATTTCTAATAATTATTTGATAACTACTACACAATTCGAAAAACCTTTTCCAAAAGAGTGTAAAATGCATAGGTGGAAACCTAAAGTTTATTTAGATTTTTGACCAGCATAAAAATCTTCGATATACGTGACAAATTTGAACTTAAGTTTTGGTGTAAGTCTTTTCCGGACACTAAATAAACAAATTGAATAGATTTAATTAGTGTTTCAAAAGTGCATCTACGCAGAAAGTTCAGCCTTGCCAGAAAGCCACACATTTACGCTTTTATATGTTGGTCCATTTGAGCTCGTAAAAGCTAGAAGGTTAGCCTTGACGTCTAGTCAAGTTTTAATTTTTAAAACACTTGATTTAATAAATAACATAAGTTTAAAGTTTACATACCAGTCAAAGAGTTAGACTCCAAATCCAGATATTCAATTGCTGATAGGTATCCAATTTCCTTTGGAATATTCCCTGTCAATCCATTTGGACATGTAGATTTTGAAATATAAGTATCTACTAATTTAAAGTCAATAATTAAGAACCTATGGAGCTACTGTTGCAGGATGTATTTCTAATAAATGTTTGGAATATGGCATACATTTTGAAAAACTTTTGTGAAAAATAGTGTGAAATGCCCAAGTGGTAACCTGAAGTTCATTTTGATTTCCATCAACGTTAAAATCTTCATTGTATATGAAAGATTTTAATTTGAAATTCTGATATAAATCATTTTCACGAAACTAAATAAGCAAATCAAAATAGATTTAATAAGCATTCTAAAAGCTGTATTTAGACATGAAGCTGCCCATATCACCTAGCCACACAGTATGCTTTTGTATGCCTAGCCCATTTCTGTTAGTGACACTCCAAAGCTTAACCTTGATGTCTAGTCACATTTTACTCTTTTTAGAACATTAAATTTAGTATATATATTTTCGAAGATCTAATTACATACCAGTGAAATCGTTGGGCCCTAAATCTAGATATACAAGCGATAATAGGTTTCAAATTTCATTTGGCATATTTTTTTGTCCATCCATTAAACATAATGAATTTAAAACATCAAATGTTAAATTAACACAAAATAGATCTAATGAAAGAAGAGAAGTATTAACTAATTTGAATTTGAAAATGTTGTACCTATGAAGTTTTTGTTACGTGATTTATTTCTAATAATTATTTGGAAAGTGCATAGATGTTGAAAAATATTTTTCAAAAAGTATAAAATGCGTAAGTGGTAACCTAAATTTCGTTAAGATTTTCCATTAACATTCAAATCTTTGTTATATGTGAGAATTTGAATTTAGAGTTTTTTTTTTAATAAATATTTGTCAGGACTAGACTAAATAAACTAATTGAAATATATTTAATTAATGCTCTAAAAAGATCGTCCATGCATGAATATGGACCTTGACGACTAGCAACAATTTATGTTTGTAATGCCTAGCACATTTAAGGTTGTAAAAGCTCGCATTTTGGAACACTAAAATTAATAAATAAAATAAGTTTAGGAGATCTAGTTACTTACCATTGAAACCGTTGTCCCCCAAATCTAGATATATAAGTGCTAATAAGTTTCCAATTTCATTTGGAATTTTTTCTGTCAATCCATTTAATCATATAAATTTTAAAATATCAAATGTTTAGTTAACACGGAATAGGTCTAATTAATGAGAAGTGCCAAATAATTTAAAGTTGATAATTAAGTGTTGATAGGTTTCCAATTTCATTCGGAATATTTCCTGTCAATCCATTTAAACATATAGATTTTAAAATGCCAAATGTTAAATGAACACAAAATAGAACTAATGAAATAGAAGAAGTACAAACTAATTTGATTTCGATGTAAAGAACCTACGAAGTTATTGTTGCATGATATTTTCCTAATAATTATTTGGAAGATACCGTATTTTTTTTTAAAACAATTTGTCAAAAGAGTGTAATATGCATAGGCGGAAACCTAAAGTTCATCAAATGGTAAATTAACACAAAATAGATCTTATGGTAGAGGAGAGTACCAACTAATTTGAAGTTGATGAATAAGTAACTATGAACTTATTGTTTTATGATATATTTCTAATAATTATTTGAAAAATGTCATACATGCTGAAAATTATTTGTAAAAAGATTGTAAAAAAGGCTAAGAGATAGCCTAAAGTTCATTTAGATTCCCATCAGCATAAAAGTCTTTGTTAAAGGTGACCGTTTTAAATTTAAATTTTCGTAACTGATATTGTGTCCTAGATCCTAAAACTAAGAAATTAAAAAAAAAATCAATTCAATTAATATTGAAAAGTTTAGGAAGTATAATCATATTAGGTACTTAGGATTTGAGGAGATTATGCTGTATTTCTGATAATTATTTGATAAGTACCACACAATTTGAAAAAAATTTGCCAAAAGAGTGTAAATGCAAAAAGTTCATTTAGATTTTCGACCGGCATAAAAATCTTCAATATAAATGACAATTTTGAACTTAAAGTTTTGGTGTAAGTCTTTTCCAGACACTAAATAAACAAGTTGAATAGATTTAATTAGTGTTTTAAAAGTGCATCTAAGCAGAAAGCTCAGCCGTTAGAAAGCCACACTTTATGCTTTTATACGCTAGCCCATTTGAGCTCGTAAAAGCTAGCAGGTTAGCCTTGACATCTAGTCAAGTTTTGATTTGATTTTTAAAACACTCGATTTAATATATGATACAAGTTTAGGAGATGTATTTACATACCACTCAAACTGTTGGACCACAAATCCAGATATTCAATGTTGTTGGTTTTCCAATTTCATTTGAAATATTTCATGTCAATCCATTGAGACATATAGATTTTAAAATATCAAATGTTAAATTAACACAAAATAGATCTTATGAAAGATAAGAAGTACCTACTAATTTGAATTCGATAATTAAGTGCCCTTAGAGTTATTGTTGCATGATGTATTTCTAATAAATATTTGGACGATGGTATACCTTTTGAAAAATAGTGTAAACTGCCTAGATGGTAACCTGAAGTTCATTTTGATTTTCCATCAACATTAAAAATCTTTGTTGGATATGAAAGTTTTAAATTTAGAATCTTGATATAAATCTTTGTCACAAAACTAAATAAACAAATTGAAATAGATTTAATAAGTGTTCTAAAAGGTGCATTTAGGCATGAAGTTGGCCATATCACCTAGCCCCATGGTACGTTTTTGTATGCCTAGCCCGTTTAGGATAGTGTAATTCCGAAGCTTAACCTTGACATCTAGTCATATTTTACGCCTTTTGGAACATTCAATTTAATATAATACAATTTCGAAGATCTAGTTACGTACCATTGAAACCATTGGACGCCAAATCTAGTAATACAAGTGCCATGGGTTTCCAATTTCTTTTTCTTTTTCATTCCATTTAAATATATAGAATTAAAAATTTCGAATGTTGAATTAAATCAAAATACATCTAATGAAAGACGAAGTACATTGAAGTCGATAATTAAGTACCCATGAAGTTATTGTTTCATAATGTATTTCTAATCATTATTTGGAAAATGTGTACATGTTGAAAATTATTTGTCAAAGGTGCGTAAAATGCCTAGGTGGTAACCCAAAGTTCATTTAGATTTTCCACCAGCATAAAGATCTTTGTTATATATGACAATTTAAGCTTTGGTATAAGTTTTTCATTAGGACAACAAATAAATTAAAATAAATTTTACCAATACTCTAAAAAGCAAAAAGTGCATCTAGGCATGAATCAAGCCCTAGCCGTCTAACCCTTTTAGGCTCATAATGGCTTGAAACTTAGCTTTGACGTCTAGTTACACTTTATGATTCTTATAATGTTGAAATATATATAATAAGTTTAGGAGATCTTGATACGTACCACAGAAACTGTTGTGCCACTAATCTAAATATACAAGTGCCAATAGGTTTCCAATTTCATTTGGAATATTTATTGTCTATCCATTTAAAGGACGTGCAAATTTTAAAATATCAAATGCTAAATTAACACAATATAGATCTAATGAAAGAGAAGAAGTACCAACTAATTCGATTTCAATAATTAAGTACAAGTTATTATTACATGATGTATTTCTAATAATTATTTGAAAAATGCTACACATATGGAGTATATTAGTCAGAAGAGTAAAATATCTAGGTTGTCACTAAAAGTTCATTTAGATTTTCTAGCAACATAACAATTGATGCTACATACGACCATTTTAAATTTAGTGTTTTTATAACTGAAATTTCATCTCCTATGTCCTCCAAAAAAAAAATCCAATTAATAATGAAAAGATTATAAAATACTGACTAAACATTGTAATGTGGCTAGCCACTAGCCGTATCGATCTCCAATAAAAGTTGATTGGGTATGTTGGATTTGATGTTATTACGATATATTTCTAATATTTATTGGAAAATGCTATGCATGATGAAACACATTTTTCAAAATGCACAATCGATGTTTTAGGGATTATACACACATACTTTTAGTGAAGCTACGTTAAAGGACATACTCTACGAGCATAAACACGCATATCACTATGCATGTAAGAGATGTTTTATGATGTTATTGGACAACAATTCTAGTTAACTGTCAAAATTTTTGGAATACATTATGGAGTGGGAGATATGTATGTGAACAACGTTTTAAACTTGCCTGTCAAATTATTTCGTCTGAGATAGAGTTTTTGAAGCTTTGACAACTTCCCGATTTCCGTTGGAATGCTTCCGACAAAATTATTGTACGACAGAGAAAGTAGTTTAAGACTCATACAAGCTCCCAAGCTTGGAGGAATGTTACCACCCAATTGATTCATTGAAATCCTTAGCCTCTCTAGCTTTGGAAGATTGAAGCAAATATCCATAGGTAGACTTCCTAAGAGACTATTGTTCCAAAAACTAATTTCAATCAGAGAAGTGAGGTTGAAAATCCTGCTAGGAATATTTCCGGTGAGTCCATTATGGGAGATATTTAACTTCAATAGACTTTCAAGAAATTCAAAAGTTGGTGGAATGGAACCAGTTAGCACATTGTATTGCATCTCTATTTCTTGAAGCTGTCTGAGCTTACCAATTTCATTAGGGATAAACCCATGAAAATTATTATTGCTAATAATTAAGGATCTCAAAAAAGAGAGTTCTCCAATTTCTTTAGTAATAGTACCTCCTACACCCATATCTGCTAGATTCAAGCCCCTGACTCTTTGATGTCTCCTGCCACAAGTAATGCCAATCCAATTGCAGAACGAGGTTCCTTGTGACCAATTTTTTTCCAAGATTTTATTTGGATCGGAAGTTATTTGAGATTTGAAAGCTAGAAGAGCATACTCATCAGTGGAGCTATTTAGAGATGTAACAATGTTGATAAACAAATAGACCATTGCCAGCAACATAAATATGACATTCTTTCCCATGGCTAATTTTAAATGCAAAAACATAATTGGGAGGGGGTTGGTAATGACGAGTTTGATGCAAGTGTGTGTCTGTGTGGGTATATATAAAAAATTAATGCTTAAGTACGATAAGTGTACAAGGTAATTTATGGTTAACATGTTGGTTGGGGCTTTATCTCTAGGGAGTCATGCTCATCACACCATTATGAACTTCATTTTTTGTCCAAAATAAACTATGCTTGACTATGAAACTGGAAAAATTATTCCATTGGATGTTGAGATTTTTCAGTAGCTTTTACTGTGGAAATTGTGGAAGTTGTTCCACAAATGAAGGTTTCATTCTTTAATAATCCGAAAGAAATAATTAGCTTTTGGAGACTTCAGTGTCCACCAAAATACTCCCCCATTTTCTAGTAGAATGCATAGATTTTTTTAAGAAAAAAGGTAAATTTTTGCATAACTTTAAAGTTTAAATCTTAGACCGTCTTATGAAATATGCATGGCCTGAATTTCTATTTTCAAATTTTTTATTTTTATTTTTTATATCCAGAAGAAAGGTTTTTGTGGTTACTAAGAACACTTAATTTAAATTATATTGCTCGATGCTTATAAATTCATTATTAGAAGTGCTTAATATATCTTACATAAGATACTTTACGACTTTTGGTCTATACATGTCAATGTTGAACGTGTATTGCACATTACTCTGAAATACTTTACAAGTGTTGTAAAAGTAATATTTGATACCAATTTTGATGAATCTCAGCTGAACTAAAGAATATAAAATTTAGTATACAAATTTAAGATAAGAAAATCTTACTCTCAAAACTCAACTTCTACGATTTAATTTTTTTTTTGAAATGATGAAGTATTACAAATGTGCAACATTTTTATACTACATTTGGTACATAAAAATTAATAGCTAATAATGAATATAAAATCCTTTAAAAAAAATTTAGATACATGAATAGAAATAAATTTATCTATAATAACTCTACATTTATATAGGTCAAGATTCATTGAGTCTAGATTAGTATAATAACTCTAGATTTATATAGGTCAAGATTCACTGAGTCTAAATTAGTGAGAATGTTAATTAATTGAAAATTAATATCAGAAATTCACACATGATAAGGATTTTGTAGTATTTATTACATATTAATAAATAAAGAGTAAGGTATTATTAAAATAAATGAATTGTAATAGATTAAAATTGTCCAAAAAATGATTCTCATTTAATGTGGAAATTTATGGTTAACGTGTTGGTTGGGGTTTTATCTCAAGGGGATGGTGCTCATCACACCATTATGAACTTCACTTTTTCCAAAAATAAAACAAACTTTGCTTGACTCTGAAATTGAAAAAATTATTCCATTGCATGTAGAAAATTTTCTTATCTTTTGTTGTGGAAATTGTGGAAGTTTTTCCACAAATGAAGGTTCCATTCTTCTAATAATCCAAAAGAAATAATTAACTTTTGGAGTTATTTTTTTTTTCCACCAATACTCTCCCATTTTCTTGTGGAATGCAAAGATTTTCTTAAGAAAATTAAAATTGGTTAAAGTGTGCATAACTTAAAATTGTAATTCTTAGTAAGTCTTATGAAATATGGCATTAATTTCCATATTCAAAAATTTTTTATTTTTATTTTTATTTTTATTTTTATATATCCAAAATAAAGGTTTTTGTGGTTGCTAAGAACACTTAATTTAAATTATATAGCTCAATGCTTATAAATTCATTATTAGAAGTGCTTAATATATCTTATAGGATATTTTACGACTTTTGGTTTATACTAGTCAAAGTTGAATGCGCATTGCACGTTATTCTAAAATACTTTACAAGTGTTGTAAAAGTATTATTTGATACCAATTTGTTGGATGATTTGATGAATCTCAACCAAACTAAAGAAAATAAATTCAACATACAAATTTAAGAGAAGAAAATCGTGCACTCAAAACTCAATTTCTATTATTTAATTTTCTTTTGAAATGATGAAGTACTACAAATGCGCAAAATTTTTATACCACACTTGGTACAAAAGATTAGATGCTAATAATGAATTTAAAATCCTATTAAAATTTCTAGATACATGAATAGAATTAAATTTATCTATAATAACTTTAGATTTATATAGGTCAAGATTCATTGAGTTTAGATTAGTGTGAATGTTAATTAATTGAGAATTAGTAGCAAGAAATTCATACAAGATGAGGATTTTGTGTATTTGTTACATATTGATAATCGAAAAGTAAGGTATTATTGAATCAAATGAACTGCAATAGGTTAAAATCATCCAAAAAATTATTCTCACTTGATGTGGTAATTTATGGCTAATGATTTGGTTGGGGTTTTATCTCGAGGGAGTGGTGCTTATCACACCATTATGAACTTTACTTTTTCCAAAAATAAAACAAAGTTTGCTTGACTATTATACTAGAAAATTTATTCCATTGATATTGAGATTTTACCTTATCTTTTATTGTGGAAGTTTTTCCACAAATGGGGGTTTCATCTTCAAATGATCCAAAATAGTTAATTAGTATTGGGAGACTTAATTGTCCACCAATACTCTCCCATTTTCTAGTAGAATGCTGAGATTTTCTTAAGAAAATAAAAATAGGTTCGAGTGTGCATAACTTAAAAGTGTAAATCTTAGCCAGTCTTATGAAATATGGCCTGAATTTTCATTTCCAGAAGATTTTTTATTTTTACTATATGTTTTTGATATTCAGAAGAAAGGTTTTTGTGATTCCTAAGAACACTTAATTTAAAATGTTAAGTTCAACAGTCATAAATTCATTATTAGAAGTGCTTAATATCTTTTATAAGATATTTTACAACTTTTGGTCTATACTAGTTAAAGTTAAACGTGCATTGCACGTTATTCTGAAATACTTTACAAGTACTGTAAAAGTAATATTTAATACCAATTTGTTGGGAGGATTCAATGAGTCTCAACCAATATAAAGAAAATAAAATTTAGGATATAAGTTTAAGAGAAGAAAATTGTACTCTTAAAACTCAATTTCTATGATTTAATTTTCTTGAAATGATGAAACACCATAAATGAGCAACCTTTTTATACTACCTTTTGTACATAAGAATTAATTGCTAATAATGAATTTAAAATTCTATTAAAATTTATAGATACATGAATAGAAATAAATTTATCTATAATAACTATAGATTTATGTAGGTCAAGATTCATTGAGTCTAGATTAGTATGAATGTTAATTAATAGGGAATAAATGACATGAAATTCATCCATGATTAGGATTTTTTCGTATTTATTATATATTGATAAACGAAAAGTAAAGTATTATTGAATCAAATGAATTGTAATAGGTTAAAATCGTCCAAAAAATGATTCTAACTTGATGTGGTAATTTATTATTAACGTGTTGGTTGGGGTTTTATCTCAAGGGAGTGGTGCTTATCACACCATTATGAACTTCACTTTTTCCAAAAATAAAACAAACTTTGCTTGACCATGAAACTCGAAAAATTATTTCATTGGATGTTTAGATTTTTCCTTATCTTTTATTGTGGAAATTGTGGAAATTTAACACAAATGGAGGTTTCATCTTCAAATGATCCAAAATAATTAATTAGTATTGGGAGACTTAATTGTCCACCAATACTCTCCCATTTTCTAGTATAATGCCGAGATTTTCCTAAGAAAATAAAAATAGGTTAAAGTGTGCATAACATAAAAGTGTAAATCTTAGCCAGTCTTATGAAATATGGCCTGAATTTTCGTTTCCAAAAGCTCTTTTATTTTTGTTATATTTTTTTGATATTCAGAAGAAAGGTTTTTGTGATTGCTAAAAACACTTAATTTAAAATGTTAAGCTCAATGGTAATAAATTCATTATTAGTACTTAATATCTCTTATAAAATATTTTACAACTTTCTGTTTATATTAATCAAAATTGAACGTATATTGCACGTTATTCTAAAATACTTGACAAGTGCAAATAAACAATTCAAAATTGAACCTGATTTGTCAGACTTTTATTGCCTTTATTGGACCGTTGGACGCATTTACCCTCATCTAGCCAAGTCTATTGACGCCATTACCTATACTGTTTGAGTCTCATTTTTAGTTAAAAATATATTTTAAAATAGTATTTTGATGAAAAATGTATTGTTAAATATTAAAAAAGAGTTTTATGTTTACGTGTAATACTATTTTATTTAATAATTTGTGATTAAAAAAAAAAGGAGAAATGTATTTTAAAAAGATAAGGGATCAAGAAGGGCTAATAACATGTCAAGGGCAATTTTGGAGAATGATGTGAGTGCTCCATAAAAAAGTCAAAAAACGGTAGCTGCCTTGGTCAAAATGATACAACAATCTCAGGAGTGGGGACCACATACTATGAAAATGGGAATGGAAAATGTGAAAATAATAATGACTCCTTGTGTCAGCTGGCTAAACTCGAAAACAATCAAGTTACACTGATAAAAAATGGTAGACAGAACCTGATTGAATACTCATAATAGGAGGGCCCACCCTTTTTTTTTTTAGAGTTTTTAATGTACGCGTGTCCCTCACGCAGTAGAAGTGTAAGCCAATGTTACTGTCATGCATTTCTGTCAACATAGGTTAATTCATTCGAAAAATAGAACTATGGTGTCACCCAATTCTCTAACAAAAGACTGAAAATAAAATAAAAATAAAAATAAAAAATTTGGGTTTCGGATTTGGCATCACTTCTATATCAACATAAAGGATCATAGAGAACACGTTCAAATGACAAAATGCAATAAAGCACATTGTCACGGATCGCAAGATCATAACTTAAGGCTTGGCATGACACGGGAATGTCATGGCACCAAGTGGGAAAATGAGATAGACTTATGGGAAATAAGGTCTAAGTTTCGGCGGTACAAGGCGATGAGTGCGTCGCCAAATTCAGTGGGGGAGTAACTTACCCCACGCGGTCGCGTTCGATCCGTCCCGGCAGCAGCCGCAATACAAC